TTGATTTAGGAATGAGGCTACTATGAATCCCACTCTTCAAGCATCTCTTCATTAATTGTCAATCAAAAGATAGAGGCTCTTAAAACTGACTATTACCCTGTTTTCCCCAAAATAAGACATCCTCTGATAATAAGCCCAATCGGGTTTTTGAGCACATGACAATAAGGCCAAGCGCATATTTCAGGGTTCAAAAAAATATAAGACAGGGTCTTATTTTCAGGGAAACACGGTATATTAATATAGCATAGCACAGCATAACAACATAACAACAACATAATATAGCATGCAATACAATTCCTAGAGTTCTTGTACTATATGATTAATTTAAACATTGCTAAATTCTTTTGAAATCAAACTAGAAAAAAAATCTAGCGTCCGGTTTTTCAATAAAAACATTAATCTTGAGTTATAAAATTGCAGGTTCATCTTTTTGTAGTCCATACTTTAAACTCTTTTACAGATTTATATGACCTACTCCTTAATTTATACTCTCATCACGTAAAGCCATAGCATATCTGAATTTACATTCATTTCCTCATTTAATCATGCACCAACATAGATCTACAGATTTATATCCCCTTTGGTTCGAAATTATTTTCATTGCCATAAACCTGGTTACTTTAGGAAAACCTGGGCCTTTTAAGTGAAAAACATACATAATTTATAATTTTGTATATATAATGTATAATTTAGCAATATTACAATTAATAAAAAGTTTTTATAGGTTTCCATTAGGATCAAGATGATATGTACATAAGGCTTTATATTATCAGAAATAACACAATGCTTCACAACTGCTAAAAGGTGTTCAGTTTAGTGTTCTAGAAAGGAGAATTTTAAAAATAGTTTATGTTTATATTTTGCTTTTAGAATCAAATATTTAAAACTTTATTGAGTTAATTTTATAAATATATTAGATCTGTGAAAAAAGGAAAGAAAAACAACTAGTCACATTTTCTGAAAATATTTTCTTTTCAATGTTAAATAAAAGACATTTAACAACCCATTTTGTGAACTGTAGTGTAACAGCTTGCCACATCCTGTTGCAGTGGCCTTTTATGTGTTGAGCAATGAAAAGTTCCTTTTTCAGGCCTTTGACAGGTAATGTGACTACATAACAAAGCACGTCTCTTTCATTCTTATGACTTTTTTGTGCTCTATCGTAAACTTTACGCATACTTTTTTTAAAAAAAATATGATGTCAGTGGAAAAGTTAACATGTATGGAAACTATCACATTGTAAAATTGGAAAATGTTTTGGGAAACTGTGGGTGTTAACTTGATAATTTCATCAGATAATACATATTTTTAAAAGATACGCAAAGGATTACTAGGAAGAACTGCTCACCTATAGGAATATTCTAGGCTGCAGTAGGAATATTCTAGGCTACAATGTTATATACCCTTACTTAAAATAAAATCCTTTGAATTAATTTGTGCTTATTGCTGAATTTACACATACATATGGTATATGATTGCATCATAACTACTGCACATCAAAGTTTCTAGTTTGAAATTTAATTTGATTCCAAATGTGCGTTATGATTTTCAACTTTTCACTTCTCTTCCTATGCCTGTAAATTAGCTCATTTGAAAAATCAATTTAACCTACATAGAAAAATATCTTATTCCCAAAAAGATACTATTATCACATTTGTCTCCAAATGGGGAGAGAAATCATGAATGGAAGAACATAGTACATAGGAAGATTTCTGAACAAAATTGTTTATTTCTAGCAGTTTGGAATCCAATGCTTCAGAAATAAAATAATCCCGTATTTCAGAATAAAGTAACCACAGTAAATATCAGATGGGTCAGGATTCACATTCTACATTCCACAAATGGCTCCATTGATAAAACAAATAAAGACATTGATGTCTTATCCATTGATATTGGATCTACTGGAAATGTACCAGAAAAACAGACACTAAAGTTAAATACTTTGTTTTCAACTTGACACGAATTACAATCCTGCACTCTCTTACCTTGGAGCAATTCATTGAACTCAGTTGGATTTAGTTCTCAACAACTCTCCATAAGACTTCACATGAAATTTCTTTCTTTTTACTTTCAGACACTTCCTGAGGGAATGAATTCAGAACCACATTTTTATCGATGCTTGTGTATTGTCCTTATCAGTTGCCCAAGGAGCACTGGTGCACACTTTGCATTAACAGGGATTTGTTGTCCCAGCAGTTTTCAAATTGTCCTCATTTACTTAGGCCTAAGCTGTAATGGATGCAGGAAACCCTGCTTCCAAGTAGACATGGATACGATTGTTCTGTTCCTAGTGACAACCGGATACTTTGGTTGGCTATGGTTCATCACATACAGAGAGATAATTTGTACTTTTTTAATCTGTTTGGCATGAAAATTTATGGATTCCTCCTTGTGGGAGGAGTCTACAGTGCTTCAGTTTCTGGAGTGGCATTGGTAGTGTGTAGTAGATATAAAACATCAACTCCTTCCATGTGGAATTGGGCTTAAAATATAGGTAAAAGGAGCCATACACTAAAAGGATTTCACAGCAGGGAAGATAATGAAACGAGCACAGGAAATAAAATATTTTCTCCCAGCTGCCTTAACTGGTAAAGGACACTGTGATCTGTCAATAGAGTTTCCAATTCTATTCCAAGAGTGTTAAAGACGAATATTAACTGCTGGTTAGTATATGGCCCTTGCCCCTAATGTAACCAGCACCACAGAGAAGGAATTGGCTCCGTTTCCTGACAGACATATGGATTTTTCAGATTTGATGGAGAAACATTTCGACAGATACTTGTATCGTAGATTAATATTTTCTTAAATCCGGTTGATGAAATATTCCCTTTGTTATGAATAGGAACCTTCCCATTGTAAATAAACGAAGCTAGTCTAAAAGTCAATTTAGTACATCTTCATTGCATATTCATTCCCATATTACTGGTGTTGGTATAATGTGTTGGAAAATTAATTGTGAGCAGTCAGGGATTTTTCTGGTTTTGTTCAATTTTCCCCTAATTGACTTCTGTTAGCAACTGTGTTTACTATAGCATACATACCTACTAAACTACTCCTTTCTTTCCAGCTCTTCTGCGTCTTTGGAGTACTGATGACACATAGACTGGACGTGTACATAATGCAGGCGGTTATATTTGTGTTTGCATAAAACATAGTCTCTATTAGCATTCCTTAAAAGGTCCAGCATATTCCATGTATGTGTGTGTGTGTGTGTGTGAGAGAGAGAGAGAGAGTGTGTCTATGGTTTTTTTCACTAGATTGTCTGCCATATTATAATTTTGTCACGTTATAATTTTCTAAGGTATCAGATCTGGTCAGATGTACAGATTCACCACTATTGGGAGTCTAGTTTTGACCCAAGCTGATAGAGGTCCAATGTTTAAGAGTGGATAGCACAGCCAGGGCCAGGCTAAGAGTCAGACTAGGTGGAGATACAGGAAACACACTGCATGTCGTATATTGGGTCTAATAAGACAACCAGTCAGATCCACTAGTCAGATCCACTAGTTGTTCAAATTAATGCTGTGGAGCAGCAGAGCTAATGGGGCCCAGCTCATTTCTCCAGTCATCCAGCCTAGCTTAGTTTAGAGCTGCAGTACCTTTACTGGAGTTCATGCAGGTTGTTATAAATGCCTTTTGCTGCAAACTGCTTTATTGGTATAAAGCCGTGTTATTCAACCATGGCAACTTTAAGATGTGTAAATTTCAACACCCTGGCTTGGGAATTCTGGGACATCTTAAATTTATCAAGGTTGAGAAATTCAACCTTGTAAGTAAGTAGGGAAGACACTTCTGGTACAAGGTTTTTGAGGAGTTTATAAATAAACTGACAGTTTCCATGCCTCAGTATCTGTTCTCTCGTTGGCAGTCTGGGATTTCTGATTTAAATCCTCTCTATGAAAAATACTAAACCGATTTCACACGCTTTTATGAAAAGTTCAACAGTGCAAATCCACAGTTCGCGTGGATTCCTCTTGCACAAACACATGGACTTATCTGGACAGGAATGATCAACAGCTTTCAAGCAAAGGGAAATATGGGCTTTCCCAGGATGGTTCCATGACGTGGGCCTGTGTTTCCCCTTCCCCGGGATGTTAGGAAAGCTCTAAAGTGGTGACAGCCGTACTGATGACATTTTGCCTATCTCAGTATCAATCAAGTCATGGCAGGGGCCGCCAAGAGATGAAAATAGAGGGATGTTGTGCAGCTCACTGTTGATGGCCTTTGCCAGGTTCAGTCATTTCCTGTTCATTTGCCAAAAATCACAAGTGCTAAATGGACATAACCAGAGTGTGGGAAACTTAAACAGCGCAAGAGAAGGAGAAAAAGAACCACAAGCAACAATAATACTGTGCTATCAGTCCATGCAGGTTATGCTGTTATTACTACGTTCTCTCAAAATATTGTATAGATAGAAATACTCCTGATGGATTTTTTTTTAACATATGCATGTATTGACCATTAAGGAAAATGTATGCATGTTGTAAATACCATTTTTGACAAAGTGAAAACACCACTTTCAGTCCTTTCTTCCCTCCCTCTTCCATCGGTTCTACTTTGGAAATATCAATCTATGGAATCCCACTTCAAAAGTCTTAGAATAAATATTCAAAGATTCAGAACTGCACCTTCTAGTTTTGGGTACTATGCTTGCAACTTTGGCAGTTTATTTGCAGCAGATGAGTGCTTATATAGAAAGTGTCATATAATATTTGTGTTCAGAAACATCCCTAATATTTTTTTCCTGTAAATAATAATGTAATGAGTGCATTATAGCCAAGACCCAAGTCCTACTTTTCTAATGGGATCCCTTATTTTGCATACAAGTTAGCATGACTGTTTGGGACAATGTTATTCTTAGACCATTTGATAACTGTTGCTTGCTTATGCCGGTTAGTCTGAAATGCCTTAGGATGTTACTTTAGCACACGAGAATGTTGGAAGAGTGTAATCAAATAATCTCTAATTCTGTTTCTTTTCTCTCTCTCTTTCTTTTGCAGTAAATGAGATTATAAGGAATGATCTTTCTAGCACCCATGTCCACTAACAAGTGGTGAGCAAGAAGTTTAGCTGAGATACCTACATCAAATAATTGGAAGATAATCCCCGGTACCTTTCTGGTCTTCCGTTTTGTTGACTGTTTGGAGCTGACAATTACCTCTTCTCTTTGTCTATGCATATATATATATATAAAGGAACTGGTTGACTTCAGCTAAGAAATGCCTCCTTTTAAAAATCATCTCAAGGAAAATGTTGGAAATGAGTACAGCGTGGAGTATTTTATGGTTAAAATAGAAAATGTGATCAAACTGATAACCAATCTCAAAAACTGATTTTGTTTCTTTCGGGCTCTACTGGACAACAACCCTGGAAGTGCCTTATTTTGTTAGTTTGTGACATCAGGGAATTGTATTGGCAGTGTTGAAGTCGTTGCCATCCAAAGTATTTCTAGGCACAGAAACTGTCAATTGGTATAGATAGAAGAATCCTCTTGAAAGTGAAATGATGTGTCTGAATTCCAGGTGTGTTTTTTTCCCCTGTTTTCTCTCTTGAACTGTATTTGACATCCTGCTGCCTTATTCATGGTGCATTTTAAACCAAATTCTCATCTCAGCTGTACATTTCCAGCCTGTCACATTTCTTTGCTTAGGTATTGTAGAACAGTTAGTAATACTAGCATGTCAATATTTTGACTCTTTGGTTTCAGCATAGCACAAGGTAACTGAGCAGCACAAAATATTAAGGTTGATGGACAAAAACATTTGGGGGAAAAAACCCTAACTTTTGCTCCACGGATTGATGTATATGCATGTAGCAACCTAGCATATACGCATACACACAATACAATATATATTGTGTATGTGTGTGTGTGTGTGTGTGTGTGTTCACATACACAAACATAATATGTTTAGTATATTTAGTTGCCTTTTGAAGGTTTTGAATTTAGCAATAATTTCTTCTTCTATGAATGCAGTCCAGATCCCAAGAAATGCCATTGCTATGTTGTGGAGTTGTTTTGTTTCAGGCAGTTATGTCCTTTTTTTTTTCTTTTGTCTCACGCTGATAAGCAAGCACTTTAGACAGTGAAGAAGGATGTGTATGAAATATGTATTAATTCCCAAATGACAAAGAATGAGTTAAAGCCATTGTAAATACCGCTACTGAAGAATGTAAAATATTTGTTCAGTTATAAGATGATTATTCCACTGAAGCCTTATAACTCTCTGCTAAATGTACAACACATATTACCAAAACCAAATGTTTTAATATGCAACCTGTATATCATGATTTCGGAATACAGTAGTTTCATGTTAATAGATACAAATAAACTTAAACAAGTAATAATAGTGTTTAACATTGTATTTTGTACAATCATGTTACCATGTAGCTAGTATATTCATTCACATAAACAGAAAAAGCATGGCTTCATTTTTAAAGCATCTAACATTAATATTGTGCCTTAGGAAATATGTGTGACCTATGCCACAGTAATATAAGTGGCAACTAAGTGCAGTGTACAGTTAATGGAAACTCAACCGGTTTCACAAAAGGGTGAAACAATCCTAACTATTTAGAAATATTACTCTGTACAATTATGTCTTACTTCCTTTTTTAGAAAAAAAAAAAGCCATATTTGTAACATTTGCACATTACTGTGAAAGTATAAGGATATAATATGGCTGTATGTAAATATTATGTTAGTTGGCTGATTTTGCAACTGTTTAGCAAATCATTTATCTTGTACTTAGCTTTGTAGGAGATGCATGCATATCTTCTAAATGTGATATCATGTATAGCTACAGCTAAACTTGTAGCTGGAAAAAAAATCCAATAAAGCACAACTTTCTGCAAAAAGCTACTTTTAGAGTGCTCTTCTTTTATTTCTGGGTCAAAACGTTTCATGAAAGAATTATGCTTTTACATGCTAGATTAATTTTTTTTTATTTATTGTATCCCGCCTTTATTATTTTTACAAATAACATATCCAGCAGAAAACATATCCAACACACTTTCCTTTTCCTATTTTCCCCACAACAATCCCTGTGAGGTGAGTTGGGCTAAGAGAAAGTGACTGGCCCAAGGCCACTGAGTTTTAAATGGCTGAGGTAGAATTAGAACTCATGATCTCCTGCTTTTTAGTGTTTTAACCATTAGACCAAACTGTCCATAGGTAGCCTTTCACTTACAATTATTTGTTAAAGTGACCATTCAAAGTTACAACAGCACTGAAAACAGGTGACTTATGACTGGTTTTCATACTTATGACCATTGCAGCATCCCAGTGGTCACATGATCAAAATTTGGTCACGTGATCAAAATTTGGGCACTTAACAACTGGCATATACTGCATTTATAACCATTGCATTGTCCCGGGGTCATGTGATCACTATTTGTAACCTCTCGGCTGGCTTCTGACAAACTAAGTCAATGGGGAAAGCCAGAATCTCATACCAACTGCATGATTCACTTAACAACTGTGGCTGAAAAGGTCATAAAATGAAGTACAATTCACTTAACAACTGCCTCACTTAGCAACAATAGTGTTGGGCTCAACTGTTATTAAGTTGACTAACTGCATTGACTAGCTGCATTTAGCTCTCTAAATAACTATTTTCTTCAGACTGCAGGCATTTCTATTGTTTTAATTATTTTCAGTCTGCTAAAAATAATAATTTTAAAAATCATATAGAACTATTTCTACATAACATCTATTCATTCATTAACAAATAAACTTGTACGGAGCTACAAGGTTTTGGAAATAGCTTGCCAACAGAACTGGTTTATTTTCATGTTTCTACATTTAAAATATGTAGTTGCCAAGAAATAAATGGACATCTACTGTAATTCTCAGATGTTCTGTTCTCTTACTTTTTTAAAAGGTAAATTGATTGCCAAAGAATTTTTGATTTGATACAGTAATATGTTGGGTGAGGTCCTGACCACACAAGCATAATGTTTGATTTTCAACAAAAAACACACCACAGTGTTTGATTTTCAACAAAATCAAATACATTGTTCACACAATGCCAGACTTTTCTTTGCAATTTTTTTTTATTTACTCCTTTTAAGTTGCTTTGGAGATTCATTACTTCCAGGTCTCACTGTAAAGCACAATGCATCTCTTGTACATTTATGAATAAAAACTGAATATCTGAAATTCTACTCCATTGGGAATTTTACATTTATTTTCTGGTTAGTTTGAAAATTGAATGAATACCATATGAAACAAAATGAGGTGGGAACATGGTCAAAGACTGAACAGTTCCAATGCCATGAAAAATAATACATGCCTATGGGATAAAGCCTATGTCTTTTCATAGTTACATGGAGAATAATTCAAGATTTGTACTCCTACATTTTAAAAAAAACTCTACTGGCCAGTTTCTTACTTTATTCTACTGCCTCAATTAGTTAGTGCCCAGGTACTTGTTTCTTGAGGCTGAACTACCATATCTGAGCTGCAAAAATCCACATAATCACTAGATAAGAGGAAATATAGACAATGCAAACACTTTGCTGCCTTCTTATGGCCTTGTGGGTTTTTGCAGGCCTGACCTTGTCTTCTTATTTGAGAAGAGCAAAATGCACTAACTCCTCAAACTTTGTATCTGGCAAAAATTGTACATCGGGTGTCAAACTCACAGCCCATGGGCCAGATGCATCACACGCTGGCCACGCCCACCCCTGATTTAGCAAAGGAGAAAAAGTCACAATACAACACATAACGACGTGACACCACGAGTTTGACACCCCTGTTGTAGATTGTTTCCACATTAGCGTTTTATAACGTGGATGAGCATCTTGCATGCCCAGGACCACATGAAAACCTGCAGATTTCCTTTCTTGAATTTTTTCCAGAATTACTGAATCAGTAATTTTTTCTGACCCCACAATCAAAATGTCCTCCTATTTTGAGGTAGGAAACTCATTAAATCTATAGCATAAAACCTAAATAATATTAAAAATAATTTCCTCAAGGGAAATAATAGAAAGTTTGTTTTAAATGCTGGCATGCTGATACGTACAATACATTTTCACTGTGCTCCCCAAATCTTAAAACGCGGCCTTCAAAAAAGTGGCTCTTGTTTTGTTTTGTTCCCACACCCCCAAGATGGTTTTATAATCTGCAGAATCTTGGATTATGAATACCAATTGCAACATGGCACACATGTTCAAGTCACTCCCACCTATTCAGTATGTTTCACATCCTGAATAATGCCTTGTAAGGAAAACAAAAATCCTAGTTTTGATCCTATTGCTAAGATATAAACATACATTCAACACAGCTGGACACACTAGCTGTTCCTCAAGAGCTGGCTTCCCATTTGATGTTCATACAGCACAAAAATGAGTAGTGAAGACAAACTAGTGATAGGAAATGCTGTTGGCTGAGCAGCTGCATTCAGACATTTTTCATGATCAGGGTTTTCAGGCTTTATAGATTAATTTAATAGTTTTTTTTATCATTCTAGGACAAAAATGTCCCAATTCTCTGAGCCTTGAAATTCTGCTAATGATCTGCATTTTAAAGCCCTTCAAGTGCCAGCCAGTCAAATCCCATTAATAAAATTCTCTATACTCCGTCAAGATCCAGCTGACAAAAATTCATTGCATAACCTATGTTCTGTACCGTTGGGGGATGTAATATCAGTGGGAAAAGAAATACTCCAGAACATATTTTGCAATACATTAATACCCAGATATCTCCAGATATCTTTTACATAAAATAGAATACACAGTGAAAATAAAGCTCTAAATTCAGTTGGAGGGCCTCAGATAACAGGGCTGCAAAAGGTCTTGAATCTTGGAGAACTATTATTACCAGAGTACACAGCATCATAATGGATGGCATTATAACAACTTTAAATATATTATTACCACTACTTTAATATTTGATGTGTTTCCTGAATGTAACCATATTGGAATAGAGGGATTGTTTTTTTCCATTTCAGAATTTGAATTACTTTAATCAACACTGATTATACATTCTAGTAGAAGATACAGACTAAGCCTAAAAAAAATAGATATAGTCATTACTAAAGGAGGTGAAACCAATCTCAAGTATTTATTTTATTTATTTATTTATTTTATATTGGATTTCTATACCGCCCTTCTCCCTGAGGACTCAGGGCGGTGTACAGCCAGATTAAAAAACATGCAGAACAAATATTAAAAACAATTAAAAGATATATAAATTTGGCCCAATTAAAACTCATTTACCAATTAAAAACGTTTAAAACATTTAAAAACAGTTAAAAATTTCATCTTAAGCCAGCCCGGCTTGTTTAAATAAATGGGTTTTAAGGGCGCGACAGAAGGCACTGAGGTCTTGGATTCTCCTTATCTCTGGGGGGAGCTGATTCCAGAGGGTGGGAGCCCCCACAGAGAAGGCTCTCCCCCTGGGGGTCACCAGCCTACATTGTCTGGCTGATGGCACCCCGAGGAGGCCCTCTCTGTGGGAGCGCACGGGTCGATGGGAGGTCGTTGGTAGCAGCAGGCGGTCTCGAAGATAGCTAGGCCCTATGCCATGGAGCGCTTTAAAGATGATAACCAACACCTTGAAGCGCACCCGGAAGACAACTGGGAGCCAGTGCAGCTCGCGCAGGAGCGGTGTTACATGGGAGCGCCATGCTGCTCCCGTCACTACCCGCGCTGCTGCGTTCTGGACCAGCTGGAGCCTCCGGGTGCTCCTCAAGGGGAGCCCCATGTAGAGAGCGTTGCAATAGTCAAGGCGAGAGGTGACGAGGGCGTGAGTGACTGTGCACAGGGAATCCCGATCAAGAAAGGGCCGCAACTGGCGAATCAGGCGAACCTGACAAAAGGTCCCCCTGGTTACAGCCGTCAGATGTTCCTCCAAGGACAGCTGCATATCCAGGAGGACTCCCAGATTGCGAGCCCTCTCTGTGGGGGCCAATGACTCGCCCCCAATAGTCAGTGATGGAGTCAACTGACTATATCGGGATGCCGGGAGCCACAGCCACTCAGTCTTGGAAGGGTTGAGCTTGAGCCTGTTCCTCCCCATCCAGGTGGGCTGAAGTCATACAACCCTTGGGCCACAAGTCTTATATTTCTTAAGTTCACTTATATACCATAAGTAATAACATGTCGGAGTTTAAATAATGTATATATAATTTCATATTGAACAGTTAGCACCTGTAACAGGGGTGTCCAACCTTGGCACCTTTAAAACTTGTGGACTTCAACTCCCAAAATTCCCCAGCCAGCTATTCTAGGAGCTGAAGTCCACAAATCTTAAAAGTTGCCAAGGTTGGATACCCTAGATCAGTGGTGAAATCCAAATTTTTTTACTACTAGTTCTGTGGGCATGGCTTGGTGGGTTTGGTATAGCTTGGTGGGTGTGGCTGGGAAAGGATACTGCAAAATCTCCATTCCCACCCCACTCCAGAGAAAAGATACTGCAAAATCTCCATTCCTACCCCACTCCAGGGAAGGATACTGCAAAATCCCCATTCCCTCCCTACTCCTGGGTGAAAGATATTGCAAAATTTCTATTCCCACCCCACTCTGGGGCCAGCCAGAGTTGGTATTTGCCAGTTCTCCGAACTACTCAAAATTTCCACTACCGGTTCTCCAGAACCTGTCAAAACCTGCTGGATTTCAACCCTGCCCTAGATCTATAATAATATATTACATTATCATTTTTTAAAGGATACATATGGGCAAAAGAACTTATTTAAAGAACTGTTCAACTGAAAACCAGTCCTTTCTAATGCCATCTAAGAACTATTTTCATCATTTAACAGAAGACCATTGCTTGAAGTCTCATACTGTATTTTACAAAACATTTTCATTGATTTTCTCTGTTGGGTGCTAATGTATTCGTTTATAAGAATTGAT